GTGACAGAAAAACATAAAAATTCCCTCTCAGCTTGTTCATGGCCAAATACGGGCCACTCCTGGTTTGCTTTTGACAAAACACTATATACTGAAAATATTTGATTCTTTCACTGGTTACATTTTTTAATTTGGCATCATCCTGATAGCAATCCAAAATTTTAAATGAATTCCAGAATTTAACCTTTTAAATACCAATTAATGTATCATATTTATATATTACCACTAACTTTTCCAGGGGGAAAGTTGTGTTTTTTCACCAATATAACTGATGCAACCCAATTATTTGCTATCATTTGCAGGGTCCGTAACAGTAACTAAACAAAAGAATTATTATTTTTTGCATTATTCACTTTTTAGCAGTGACAGAAAAAAGACAAAACTCCAATGTTACACGACGTTGCCAAAAGATGCCTTTTCACGTTTTTTTTAGAGAACAGAACAACTTGCAGCATGGTCCAGAGAGAGGAGGAGAACGTTACAAGGTTCGGTGTTTTCAGTGAGTGGTTGTGGTGTGTATGTTGCATGTGTGTGTGGCTTTGTGTTGTGGCATGCTCGAAGGGCAGAAGTATGTGCAAACCACAGCAGAGGGTCCTTGCAGACACATCCTTATCCACAGTGGTTGCCGTTCATCTTACTTCTTGGGTGCACAGTTCACACCTTCCTCCTACTTTTTGTCGGGCTCTGGGTCACCACTCTGATTCACCCTCTTGTATTTTCCCTGGCAACAAGATGGCAGCAGCAGCTGCTGGAAGCGTGGGGGACATGGCCGTCTTGCAATTGCTGGGAGTCACCAGCATGTTGCCCAAGCTTCCTCCGCAAGAACAACCCTCGCTGATTTTTGGAAGACCCCACTCAGGATGGACCAGATTTCCACAGGACGAAGGCATTGGTATGCCGAGATGTCCGGGTTGTGGAAAAGATTTTGGGGTGGGGAGCCGGGGCCAGTGGCTGGTTTTCCTTCGAACAACTGTAGGGTGCCACAAACCTTGCCCATGCAGTGCTGTGTAGGTGCCACAGCAGCTGATAATCTCCTCTGTTATAAACAGGGTCAAAGGCAGGACCTCAGTGCTGATGCGGGCAACTTGCATACAGGGTGGGCCCTGGGGTGATAACCAGGGGGGTACTGGATTGGTAGTGCGAGGGTTCTCTTCAGCAGTGGAACCACATTATCTTTCCCATGACGAGACAATCCCACCTCACCCACCAGCTTCCTCTGATCTCTGCATCAGCTGCTCGGGCCTCCACCACTGTGTCTGTATCGCTCTTCCCTGAGAAGAGGAATCAGGCAGTGGTTGGTACTCCTTATCAGTGGTGTTGTGTCATCCTCTGGAGCGAGGGTGTCCCTCATCTTCAGGGAAGAGGACGTTTCCTCACTTGGGATAGAAGATATCTCTTCCTCAAATGCATGAGGATTCTCCCATCTTCACTCTCTGAGGCCATCAATACTCAAGTGCTTCAGTCACTTGAAATACGACCTTCTCCTGGCCATCTTGCCAGAGAAACGAATGACTCTGGGCTTTTAGGCTTCACTTATAGCATTAGTACTGACTGCACCGTGCATAAAACTCCAGTCAGATTTATAAACAATGGTCAGACTTTTGTTTTGTTGTCCCCAAGCCGAGGTCAAGATGTCCGCTGTGATTCCTTTTTTTGTTTTTTGGGAGAGCCAGCTATCTTGAGTACTGTAAGGGCTATTGTAGTTTGTGTGGTGTGCATTCTTTTAATAAAATATCAAAGCTACATGGGTGTTCGTTCAGATCCTGTGCCTGCAAAGCCAAGTTTGCCTGGAAACTCCAAAGCTCAATAGCCCATGTACCAAAAGAAGATTCACTGAACTGGAGGTATGATAACACTGTAAGTTTATGTCACTCTACTTGCAAATACATATTTGGCAGGCACATTTTTTCATGCACAAAGCACACATCATTATCTAACATCCTTAAGATCACACCTATGTCAAAATTGTGTCATTCATTTCACTGCCATTGGAGTGCAGTAAACCATCATACGCCCCCGAGTGGAAACTAAGAATATTACTGAAATTGCTCCTTGGGTGCAAAATGGACAAATGACATATCTGTGTAGAAGAACATTTAAAAACTAAAGTTTTCAAGGTGTTGTGTTAGAATGAAAGCCATTTCACCAAATTATTATGGATGTTAAAATAAGGTGTAAATCACAAAGGAATTAAAAATTAGTTTTCATGGGTTTCAATTGCCAAAGTGTCCCGAAGGATAGGAGCCACTGAGGTACAATTGGAATATACTAGTATAATATGGACATAATTTAAAGATTCAGGTTATGAAAATAAAAATCTGAAAGAAATCCATGACCTTGGGAAATACATTCCATGTATGCATTGACCAGCTAAAATGGTCAGAAAAATGAAGTGGAAGTACACAAATGGCCAGCATTAGAGTCCAGAGGGTTAAATTATGATTCCAACATCGGCCCGCTTTGCCCCAGGGTAACATTTAACTATGGCCGCTGGGCTTCGCTAACTTCACATTCTGACTATGAGCTGCAATAATCAGGAGTTGTTTCCTCAGCAGGGTTGTGTCGCTGAGTGGGGAAAATCTATTTGATAAGTGATCGGTTGGTGGTTATCCGTGGGCTTCAGTGGGTGCTGCTATGCTTATTCTTCCTTCCTTCAGTCACCCAGCCTTCCGTTCTTCCGCTTGCTCGGATCTACCGGTGGATAACTACCGTGGGGGAAGGGCTACCTGAAGCTATCCTTCTGTGGGCCTTGCACCGGTACCTGTGGCTGGCTATACGAAATAATTATTGGCTAATGATATCCTCGTGGTGCGGGGGCCGTGGCTCTACTTACTAATGCCTCGCTTCCAAGCGCAGTAGAAATAAATCACTTAAACATGTACCATTATCTAAAAGAGGCTGAGGAGTTTAACTAAACCATTTCGGCACACTGAGCAGTGACATAGAGGACGAGGAAGAGGTGAGATAGCCATCGCTAATGCTGCTAGTGCTTAATGTTAAACTAGCAGTGTGGAGAAAACTTGAAATAGTCGCTAAAAGAAACCGAAGTAACGTTAGGGTACTAGTGTCAAGGCTAGAACTAGTCTACGTTAAATGTTAGCTTATAACTACTGTAACGGAGTAAATAATTATATATTTAGTCTTAACTGATCACAGTTACAACACCAAACAGTTTACACAAGAGCAGGAAGTAAACCGGAAATG